TAGCACCCAAGCCCAGAGTTCAAGCCCCATGATCGACCAAAAAAAAGAGAGAAAGGTGATTGCAATATTTGGTGTACAAGCACTTAACTCTGAAGTCGTGGATGTAAAAAACATAAAATAGAAAGCAATACAAAAATTACAATGCAGTCAAAACAATAATTGGAGATTTCATATTATTGCTATAAATGCATGCTTAGTAGTTTCTTTTCACTTTTAATACTTTAGAATGTTAATTGAGTATATTTAAGTATTGCAAAATTGCAAGAGCTAGCACGTACAATACACTGTGCATACTATCCTTTTAATGTAGTGGTGGTAAAAGGAACCTTAAAAGCCAAACACAATGTGCTAGTATTTCTTTACAATGTAGATTCACATGCAGCTATAAAAAAAAAAAAATACAAGCTGGGCACTGGTGGCTCACGCCTGTAATTTTAGTCACTCAGGAGGGCTGAGATCGAAGATCACGGTTCAAAGCCAGCCTGGGCAGGAAAGTCCAGTGAGACTCTTTATCTCTAATAAACCACTCAGAAAACTGGAAGTGGCACTGTAGTTCAAGTAGTAGAGCACTAGTCTTGAGCTGAAGAGCTGAGGGACAGTGCCCAGGTCCAGAGTTCAGGCCCCACGACAAAACAAAAAAACAAAACAAAACAAAACAGAACACCAGTATGTCTGGGTGCTGGTAGCTCACACCTCTAATCCTAGCTACTCAGAAGGCTGAGATCTGAGGATCATGGTTCAAAGTCAGCAGGAAAGGGCTGGGAAGGTGGCTCAGTGGTAGAATGCTTGCCTTGCATGCATGAGGCCCTGGGTTCGATTCCTCAGCACCACGTAAGCAGAAAAAGCCGGAAGTGGCACTGTGGCTCAAGTGGTAGAGTGCTAGCCTTGAGCTGAAGAGCTGAGGGACAGTGCTCAGGCCCAGAGTTCAGGCCCCACTACTGACAAAAGAAAAAAAAAAATCAAATGTCAAAGTCAGCAGGAAAGTCTGTGAGACTCTTATCTCCAATTAACCGCCAGAAAACTGGAAGTGGTACTGTGGCTCAAGTGGGCCCTGAATTCAAGCCCCATGACTGACCAAAAACACCCACAAAAAAA